GGGTAGAGGAGGAAGGCAACAGAAAAAATGGTGATGGGTAGAGATGATTAGAGGAAAAAACAGTGATGGGTTTAGAGGACTTGAGAAAATGAGGGTTCTTTCTAATTTTTGAGTTTTGAAATTTAACATAAATATTAAGAAAAATATTTGAAGTTTAAAGTCATGGAGTTGAACTTTAGACTAAGGACTCGTATTATAGGCATAACACTTGACCATTAAACTAAGAGCTATTATTGTTATATAAGTGGGAGATATAATGTATTATAATTAATATTTATACATATTTAAAAAAATATATATATATGGATGGGCACGAGTAGCTTGGGGTTTGCTCGTAGCCTACCTATTTATTAAACTAGCCTACTCATTTTAGATGCTTTTTAGATAAGTCTAAATGGGTAAAATTTTCTAGGTTACGAGTGGGTATAGCATTCTATGGATTCCTTCCTCAGCCCTACTCTATATTTGTAAAATCAAGCATTTGCCATAGTGAACATGCCTTTTCATTCCAATGGATGACACAAAGAGATCGTTCACTCACCTCTATCAAACTCATCGTGACAAACCCTGCAATTTATCATGGTAGATTACTCAAAGACTACACTTGCCAACAAAGCATCCTTAGCTATAACAAGAAAGCCCCTTCTACCATAGCAAACAATACAGAAGTATTGTTGTTCGTCTTCTTCCACCTTCAATCCAAACCTAACTCTCCCAAATTCCACTAAACCTTAAAGATTCCTAATTCCAAGCCTATTAGCCTGTAAATCTCGAGAGTCAGAACTTAGGACGTTACATTTTGGAAGATAAAGAATTAAAAAAAAAACTCTTTTCCAACCATGATAGTCCTTTGATTTGGATTTTATTATTTCCTATTATGGTTAGCTTTGATTACTCAAGTTAGTTTTTTTTTTTACTCTAATGTCTTTCGATTAACTTTCTTTCTTTTCTACTATTGATGTGTGCTACTGGTTTCAAAATGGCTAAGTGTTGGTGTTTAAACAAAAGTTCCTTCTAGAAGACATAAGCTTCCTCATTTCATGAGAAATTGATATTATTTTCTATGTATTCTTCTCCCATAATAATTATTTCCTCTAATATGAAGGCCACTGAGAGTTACTTCTTATATATCTTGAAATTCATTTGAAGTTTCACCATTTATCATTTTATTTAAGAACATGATTGTTTCTTTGCTATTTTGCTATGTAAATCTTGCTATCCTTAATTGAGTTTCCAGTGATAGGCGTACCTTAGATTAGGTTTGTTTTCCATCCTTCAATACTCATTATACGTGGTCAATGTCATTAATTGACTGTTTGTAAAGGCTCGTGAGCTAATTTTTATGATCCATGACTATATTAATTCAAAAGAATTAATAAGTATGGTATAATATATTAATAGCAAGTGTATAACACATTAACAACATATAAGTTTGTTGTGTAAAATGTTGAAATCAATTGAGACAAGTTTGATGAAATAAAAATGATAAGTATAGGATAAGAAAATAACAAATATCATATAGCACCCTAACTTTTAAGTGAGGCCTACTATTGACATAGTTGGTGAATAAAAATGACAAGTGTGGTGTAGGATATTAACAATTACGCATTCAATTGTTTGAAACAAAGAAAGAAAAGAGAGGAGAGAGTGTAATGAATCTAAACTTGGATCGAATCACCAAAACTTTGTGAATCAAATAATGATGCTTACACACAATTTAGACTACCATAGAATGTTGGTTGTTCATTTTATTATTTTTGTTGTTGCTTATGATTATTGGAATTTTAGATGGACTATTGTTTGTTTTGCCAACTTTAGATAGATATTAAAATTAGACATTTGTACTTGAGTTATGATTTCTAAATTTATTTTAGTGTTTATTTTACATAAGCCCTTAGATATTGCGTTGATTATTGAATTGGGACCTCTAGGATTAAATGTTTGAAATTATATGCTAAACGCATATGTAGGAGGACCTATCAATGGGTGAACTCTTTTTTAGCCATATGCAACATACTCTCAAGTATATGCAAAAGTTTTTAATAAGAAAGTCATTTACATATAGTTGAAGATATGTTACACATGATTAAAGAAGTTGTATGTGTTTGATTACTCTATTGTGTAAGCTCTCAAATTAATTAACTAAATTAACCCTATATAGTATAAAGGTTAACCTAGATCATCTCTCTCCATGAGCTTTGTTAAAATTTTGAAAACCTTTTTAATTAAGAAAAATGTGATGTAGAAAAGGAAGGAGTAAAAAAGAAAATTGATTGATTTTTTTTAAGAAAATAAACTGAGAAAAGTAAAACAAAAATAACAATAATTAAAAGAAAGCAAAAGGAATGATGATTTTACTAGAATGATGCACTTTCTGAGGATGTTGATAAGTGACTATCATAGTTCAAAAAGATGAGGAGTTTGTATAAAAGCAATTACTAAGTAAAAAAGAAAAACCTTAGATAACATCTAAGTCATGATTAACTAATTAACAATTATACCTAGAGAGCTAGCATATAATTATCTTTTAATTAATCAACTAAAAACCACTTAGCTAGTGAATTCAATTAAACAATTACATCTTGTTCCTTGAAGAGAGTTATTTATCGAAAATCCCAAAGCATGAAACTACTTGTGTTGATCAAAACAAAAATCTATAAAGATAAACACTCATAAAATCATAAGGAAACTAAAAATATATTCACTTAAAACTTCAAAACATAATTGTTCAATTGAAACGCAAATTTAATAACAATCCACAAAATTAGAAATTATAACCTAAGAAATTTATGAGAGCAATGTATTTGTGGATAGAAATATGAAAACTAACAAACTCTCTAATGTAAACAGAAACTCAAGCCATGTCATTGTGTCTTTAGGAACAAAGAAGACTAGCCACACATATGGCTAGATAATACCACAATGATAAAAAGAAAATAAGAAGACAATAAAACAACTACACATAAGAGGAAGCCAAGTGTATGCTTGTGCTTGTGTAGTGTAGATGGCTATGTTTCTTCTTCAGGGCTCCCTTAATCTCCTTTTATAGCTCTTGAATCCGTCTTAGTTGAATAAGGAAACCCTTAAGACTTCTAGCTTGAATTTTTATCTTCTTTTATTTTGTAATCTTGCTGATCTCATGCCTTTGAGGAAAATGATTTTATTTTGAATTCAAAAGATAGAACTTGAATTTGAATTCTCTTGATTTGGTATGATCTTCATGACAACAAAAAAGAAGAGCTTTTGAATTTAAATGATATTGGATAAAAGGATAATATTTCAAATTTGAATAAAGATATGGTGGTAGAATAAATTGGGGTTAGGGTTTAAGAAGAGAATAAAGATGATAATGTAGATATTTGGAAAATTAAATAGATAATGGATATATGAATAAAATATTTCTTTGAATTCAAAATACGATAAAAAAATTATCCACAAAAAGAATTAATTATTTATACTCTTTAATTATGATGGAAGATAAGAGATATTTTGAATAATTTCTAGTTAGATAATTGAAAAATTCTCTTTTAATGTCAAGTGGCTGCCACAAATGTAATTTTCATGGGGTTCATGTTTTGTTCAATAGAATATTCTTTGAAATTAAAGCAAAAATATATTTCAAAAAGAAAATTATAAAAATATAATAAAAATGTACTTTTAAGTAATTAATTATATAATTTTCTTCATGCAAATTATGAGTATCTATTACATTTTAAACTCTTTAAATATTATAAAATTTTTTAATTATATATAAAAATATATTATAAAATAGGGATATATCAGTGTTGAAGATGATTAAACTTACTTGAATTGATGAAATTAGATCTAAAAGTAAGAAAACAAAGTTGAATTTAAATGCTAGAAATCAAATTTTATTTTTTTTGAGCTGAAAAGAATTAAAATTTTATTGTTGAAAATCCATTTCTTCACTAAAAGTCAATTTTGTTAGTCAAAATTGATCTTAGCCTCCATCACCTTTTTTTTTTTAACTTATACTTTTAACAATTTTTTATTTTAGTTTCTATACTCAACAACATTAATGACATAATGTTGTTAAATTTAGATTTAAGTCTTTATAAAATTATATGGGCTGACGCCTTGTACAACACAAAGTATAGGTGGAAAAAAATAAAAATAAAGTATAAAAACTAAAACGAAAACTTATTAAATCTATAGAGACTAAAAGTAGTTTAATCCAAAATAAAATTCATTTTTAACTGAAAGGAGCATTATTTATTATTTATAATGTTTATTAGTATAGACACATGTTTAAATTATACATGATTATATTATTTTTTTAAAAATAACAAAAAATACCTACTGAATTTCAAAAGATAAATAGGCATGCTGACTATTTTTGTTTTGTAATAGTTTTGATATGTTCAAATTTGTCAAAGTTACTTATTCATATTTTTGAAATTCAAATAGATTTTTTATATTATTTTTTATCATTAATATAAATAATTATATTTAAAAATATTGATAATATTTAAAAGTATTTAAAATTTTTTTTGATGCCATAGTATTTAAAATATTATCGGCTAAACTTTATTTTTAGTTTTTTTAACTTTACACAAAGTTTTATTTTGAACTCTTGAATTAAAAAAATAAACTCTTAATGTCTAACCTTAAAACCTTTAACAAAAAATAATAATATTGAGTTTTTGGATGTTGATAAAACATTATTAAACGTTTAGATGCTAAGTTTAATTTTTAAAACAACTATAATTATTATAAAAATACTATTTAAGACTAATTATTTTAAAATTAAAGGACTAAAAGTACCTCTTTTAAATTTAAGGTACTAAACTAAAACTTTATATAAAATTAAGACACCAAATATATATTTTATCTAATATTATCTCCTCTCATTTTTATTCCGTTATTTTTCGTCATCTAACGGAGTGTTTTTTTTTTTTTTTTGAGCAAAAGCGGGGGGCGGGCTGAATAAAGGTCAAGATTTTATATGCGGTGGGATCGAAAGCAATCACGAAGGCGGGGCCTCGCCGTTATCTTCGTCACTCTGGCCGTGCAGAGCGCGACTCAACGCAACAGAAAGAGATCCTCTTCCTCTCTGCATTTCTGAATTCTTGCACTTCATCCTTCCGTTTCTATGCCGAAACGCCTGCCAGTTCTGCGCTCCGAGTATGTTCCTTCTCTCCCCTGTGCCCCTGTGCCCCTGTGCCCCTGTGCCCCCTTCATGTAAGATGCCATCGCCAATGCATTCAATTTCACTTCTAGAAGAAGCATTTCTGTTTGCTTTATTTTCTCCTTTGGTTCCCTAATTTCATATTTTAACTTGGAAATATCTCTCTTGAAAAGATAATTATCCAGCAGGTTTCATGATTTGGGGTGGTTTTCATGCGATTAATTGTCAATTATCGTCTGTGTGTTTTTCTGCGTGGAAATTCTATATGATGTTGTATTGCTGCTAAATATGTTTCATTGACCACATCCTCGATATTTCCATCCTTGCCGCAATTTCATTCAACGGCCCTATTAATGACATTTATTCCTTTTTTTTTTTTTTTGGTTTGCTATTATTATGCTAATATCTTTTTCAATTTTGGTTTCCCAGAACTTAAACTTGCTGCCACAAAGAACGGATAGCCATAGGAGATTGTCCATGAGTAATTTATGTGGTGGTCGCTAACTTTGTGCAAGTGGTTATGCAACTTGAATGAAGTCAGTTTTGAAGCATGAATGAAGAAGTGGTTGATGGGGGAACACCTTTGGAAGTGGTTGAGGGTGTGCAACATCAGAGTAAAGAGGATGAATATTCACTGAAACCTGAAAGCTTCCCATTGGTCAAACCCGAAGAAATTCTGGCAACAGCTGAAGCTGACTACTCCCAGATCCCACCGCAAAAATATGATGATATTCGACAGGGTAGAAATGTTATCGAAACTATGAGCCATGCAACTACATCAGAGCATCAGCATCTTGACCAATTTTTTGCTGATGAAGGTTTCATGGTTCAAGAATTAACGGTGAAAAGTTACAATGGCTCAAGTTTAGATATTGGTACATCAAACAGACGGGAGGGGTTTTATAATAGGCAGAGCCAATGGGGGAATCTTTATCAGCTAACTGGTGATTCGGGAGCTGGGAATTCACCAAGTCATACTGGGTACAGAAATAACGTTTTGGCTACCTCTAATGCATGGGAGGATGGTGGGTCTACATCTTTCCCAGAATTGTTGGCTAAAAAATCACTTAGTGATGACCAGAGCAAAGTTATAGAACACTTGACAACAGTTGAAAAGAAAGGGGGTGCAGGTGATGTTCACGGAGGAATACGAACAAAAATTATATCCAAGTCAGGATTTTCTGAGTATTTTGTTAAGCATACATTGAAGGGTAAGGGTATTATATGTAAAGGTCCATCTTCTGACGGCTTCCATGTAGGCTCTAGAGATCGGAATCAGATGAAAGTTGGCATTAGTACTACTCAGATGGATTCTAATGGATCATTGAGCTTTGCTTCCAAAACTGAGAAGTCATCTTTTAGTGCTGCCATGCCTAGATCTGATGGGTCTGACTGCAATGGCGTGATTTTGAGAGAGTGGTTGAAAGCTGGGCACCAAAATGTAAGCAAAGCTGAGCGGTTGCATATATTTAGAAATATTGTTGATCTGGTTGAAAGTACTCACTCTCAGGGAGTAGCATTGCATAACCTGCGGCCATCTTATTTCAGATTGCTCCCATCACACCAGATCATATACCTTGGCTTACCCATCCACCAGCAGATATCTGAAGGTGTTGTGAATTGTGAAATTCTTCCCTCAGAAGATTCTTTGGTTAGAAAAAGGACATTAGAGCAGGTATTTTATCCGTCTCTTGATATGTGGTCAAAGAAACAAAAATTTAATGAGAGTGTGACAGTTGCTGGGGATTGGAGTCAGTTTTCTCCAAGATCTGACACATATTTTCGAACTGCTAGTGATGGTAAAGTCAATGCAGTTGGACCACAGAGAATGTCTAGCATCCCTTGCATGTCTAGAGCAGGCCAATTGCAGTTGGCTTCTGTAAGTGAAAGATTGGAAAATACATGGTATTCAAGCCCTGAGGGAGGTTGCACTAGATCGTCAAATATTTACTGCTTGGGTGTCCTTCTTTTTGAGGTGTGTAAAAAAGTTGGTGAATGTGCTTTTTCATTAGTCAGATGCAATTTACTTGTATTCTTTATGGTGTTGATTCTTTTAAATTGAGCCTCATTTCCCGATGAGATTTTTTTCTTGGGGAAAGTTGACCTTTTGCTTTAATGGTTTTTCTGGGGGGAAAAAAAAATTGTAAAGCTAACACCCACACATAAATAGGTTACTTCTAGCAATTAGCACCACTCGCGACTATTTGAGTGAAGCATCCTGAGTAACCAGTCATCAGATCCATAACTTAGTTAATCTGTCAAGCACCAAAATGACAAAAAGGTAACACCCTTGTGAACCTAATTCCATTAAGCCAAGATTTGTGGTGCAACACACACTCGCACACCTAGATGCAAACAGAGGGATTTGTGAGAAAGATATAGAAACAGAGGGGGTAGGGGAAGCAGAGCAGAAAGTTGAGGGGCAGAGAAGACTAAACATAGGGGGTTATTGAGAGAGACCAAAATCTGATCAAGGAAACATGTTTGCATTTATCCAAGTGTCTATCTTTTACATATGCTGCCTAACCTCTAGCGCAAGGTTTTCTTTTCATGAAGGAAACATAGTCAGCCTACTTCTAAGATTTCCTTCCCATGAAGGAATCAAAAAGCAAGGTAAAAATATTAAAACAAAAATCAGCTACTTGCCAATGTTTCCTCTCTAGGAAGGAAAAATATGAGATGTTATATAATAAGATTGAAAACATGAAACATAAGCCACTTGCAAGCTATAACAAAAAAAATAAAATAAAATATTAAAGTAAGCTAGGTTTCCTCAAAATATTAATTCCTATAGTCCATCAATGTGTGGATATGTGTAGCTAAAAGAATAAGGAGATCAGGAGAAAAGGGAAGGACCAATGTGAATTATAATGATGTGTCCTAGGGTGAGCTGCCTCTAGCATGACTTATGTGATACGTGAAGCATGGGTGGAGAGAGCAAGTCATCAGGGTGGTATTTGAGCTGGAGTGTTGAGTGAGGAAGGAAGAACAAAGTTAATCAAACTCACTTGGAGAGACTTGCCTTTCATAAGATCGGAGAGTCATTTTTATTTTATTCTTTGTTCCTGTTCCTACTTTATTTAATCAATTCTGCCCTTTGCTTCTTGGTTGGATGGGGGTTATTTTTCTTAATCCTGAGTTGTATACAAAGGTTTCCATCAGTTTTCATATTAAAGGAGTACATTCATGTAGGGTGGTGAACACAAGATAGAGCAACGAGTGGAATCATTAAAAAGTGAATTTCAAGAAATGAAGGAAGAGATTCATTGATTGTGAAAGTGATGGTGGAGCCTTGTGAAAAGGTGATAGAAATGTAGAGCTCATGTCATCACATAGTGAAATTAAAGGAAATTGTAGAAGGCCGTTAAACTTTCCATGCCTGAGTCTTATGAAGGAGCAAATATTCCATTTGTGGAAAAGGATGGGAACAAGTTCACAAGACTTTGACTATCCCTGTTTTCTGGAGAAGACCTGACCAGATGCTTGTTTGGTGTCGAACAATACCTTGCCATGAATAATGTGAGTGTGGAGAGATTGGATCCTGATGAGACCCAACCCAGAAACTCTAAACTTTTACTATAATAAAATGGATTACACACAAAGATACAATCAAAAGCTAAAAACTCGTTACATTCGTAGAAAAAACACTACTCTGTTACACATGGAAGGGAGGATAACAGCTACAAATTCAGGCTACTATACCACAGATACAGAAACAATAAACAAAGGCACAAGCCACAAACCACAGTAAGGACATGCTACATCCAACTAACAGACTTGCCAAACTTTGGAGAGTTTGGCTCTCTCCTTCTCACAAGGGCCAAGTTCAATACAAAAATTCTCCACACTCCTGCTGAACCCAAGAGGATGATTTATAGCCCACAAAAAGTGACTTTCCCATTCTCCAAAACAACCCTCTTATAGCCGACCATAGTACCCTACTTTTCTACTTCTTTCTTCAAAATAGTAAGTCAAGGTTCTGATCCACAAAAGCAACTTTTCCCTTTTCATGTATTTTCCTAATTTTCTAAAAGTAATCCTAACAGATGCTATGCATATGGAAGGGAGCGCTTTTGGTTGCAATGGCTGGAGACAAGAACATCGATGAAGAATTGGATTGGGTCTAAGAAAGACCACTTGGAACATTTCCATTGAAGGCGATTGTGACATGGATAGGTTTTATTTGCACTGAATTTTTTTTTTTTTTTGGGGGGGGGGTTGGAATTGATGGAGCATAGAGAAGAACATGAGATGATATTGGCGCCCCTTTGAGAAAACTATAGATCAAATTTTTTATCAGGGATTTTGAGAATGGATCAAAGAAAGAACTATGAGCATAGGTGTTGATTATGAATTCAAAGCTGGGATAGCAACACTAACGCTTCTACTGCAAGCAAATTAGGGAAGAGCTCAGGCAAATTGTTTGATTCTGAAACTGCAATGAGTTAAGAACGAGTGCTTTGTTCTAAATGTGTAGAGAAGTTTGGACCTAATCATTATGTTAGAGCAAGGCACTATATTTGTTAATTCTGTCTGAAGAGAATGAAGAGGAATTAGAGAAGTTAAAGGAGGAAGAACTGTCAGAGAGCCTTAAAAAATATCAAATCGATTTATCACAGACCTGAATATTATGAAACTGGCACATGTCACTTATATAGAGTCTGGCTATGTTGACTGAATAGCTAGTTAATGGGCTTGGGCCTTAGGCTCTCATTCTCATTCATTTTGGGCGAGGGCTATAGAATAACATCCCCCACTTTCTCAGGAAAAAGAGGAACAATATTACTATCAGCAAAACTGAGATATTGTATGGCTTATCTCTCTGTTTTTTTTTTTTGGCTTTTTAAATGCATAAACAGGGCGTAGACCTAAACAGAGAAAATATATAGTGATCTCTCTTGGGCAAACATTGCCCATCATATACCTATACAACCACCTGGAGTAACTTTTCATTGATCAGCTGCATGCATCTGAAGATCAAGTTCTACATGCTCTGTTTTGCTATATAGCATCAAATCAGTTTCTAAAGAAACTATTCCTGAATTGTCACACCATATATAAGGAGTGCCAGCTGCATTAACACCCATAACCTTTAGTGATGCAGACATACACGATATCTGTTACCGCATCAAAGTCATAGGATTTGGACCTAGAAAAGTGCAACAGCCACTTGTGTATAACGCACATTGTAGAGGACCTACAATACTCCTATGAAGCTTAGTGTCCAAGAAAATGTCACTACCTTCCTTGGAAAGTTCAAAATTTGTTGCTAAAGGATTAGGAAATGCCTTAGCTGTCTACATGGATATTTTCTCCAAAATACCCATGAACATATATATATATATATATAGAGAGAGAGAGAGAGAGAGAGTCAAGGGATAGGTAAAACTCAACACTGAGAAAACAAGAATGATGGAGTCTGCTGAAACTGATCTATTAAATAGAAGAAATGGACTTCACGTACACCTCTCCCGTGAAGCTACTAAAGTTGGTAGCATATTAATGAGAAAAGCTGCTGTCAAAGAATCATGCCAATTATTGTAAAAAGGAAAAAGGTTTCAGGCCGGCGATTAAGTGACAGAGAAGTTTGTATTCATAAGGAAAGCCCATTTCAACAGTATGCTCGTGTCTCCTCTTCATCAAACTGTCCTGTTCAGGCACATGTGGCCATGCAACCACATGTGTCTTCTGAACCACAATGGAACTGGACTTGTCACTGACTGATATCTTTTGCATTTGATACTGTGTCTTATGAGGTTTTTCTTTCATATTTATTTATTTATTTACTTCTGTAGCTGCCTCATTTCAAATGTAATGAAAATAATTGTGAGTATTAATTTTTAATCTCTTTTCAATCGTTTATTTGGTATAACCTAAAGCAACTTGATTCATAATAAGCTTCGACTTTTGGAAGACCTTTCAATGGCTATAATATATTTTCTTGCACCTTAGTTCTCAAATTAAGTCTTGTCGATAAATAAGTAATTGAACATGATGTTGTGAACTGATAAATTTTGATCATTCCTTCCAGTTACTTGGCCATTTTGACTCTGAAGGGGCACATATTGCAGCGATGTCAGATCTTCAAGAGAGGATTCTTCCTCCAGGTTTCCTATCTGAAAATCCCAAGGAAGCTGGATTTTGTCTTCTGTTGCTACATCCCAAACCATCGGCACGCCCAACAGCAAGGTACTGTTTCATTGTCAGTAACATATTTCTTCTCCATCTCTATGTGTGTCTATTATTTTAATTCTCATAGATTGCTTTATATATAAGATTTAGAAATCCTTTTGAGTGAAATGATTTCTTGGTACTTGGAAGATGAAACACTATTTCAATTTGATCCTCATTTCATTCCTGTGAAGAGTATTCTGTTTTCATTATTATTGTCATGTTGAGCTCTTTTACATGTATTTACAAGATATGTGTGGTATGAACCAACAAGAAGCTAATATGGCCATCAAATGTCTAGTTGTCATTGAAATGTGCTGTGATGGATCACCATATTGTGCTATGGCTTCTTCATGAGGTATGATGCTTTGTCAGCTGGACACCCTGTGACTATATCTGTTTTATTTTAGGTGAAGTCACACTTCTTTCTTAGCTATCAATTAACTGGTCAATATGAGGAAGATATTGATGACAAAATACGCTTTGGAGGAGGACTGAAATTAGAAGTTCATATTTTGGAGGACTTAATTGAGATAAGATGTATATCAAAAGCGATAAGATGTATATCAAAGGCATATTTCTCTTTCAGTAGTGAGTACTGATGTGTGCATGGTTTAATTCAATATGCTGCTAGTCCTTGGATTTTGGACCTTAAATCTGAGCTATGCACAATTATGCTTTCGTGAACTCATAAATTTTGTTTTACTACAGGGAAATCCTACAATCTGAAGTGATAAATGGATTGCAGGAGGTTTATAGTGAGGAAATGTCATCAAGTATTGACCAAGAGGATGCAGAATCAGGGGTATTGTTGCATTTCCTCGTATCATTGAAAGAGCAGAAGCAGAATGATGCCTCCAAACTGGTTGAACAAATCAGGTGCTTGGAATCAGATATTGAAGATGTGGAGAGAAGGCATGACTCAAGAAAATCCTTGGTTTTGTCTAGCTCTCAGAATAAATCAAGTTGTCTGAAAGAGGTATGCCTCTCAGCAAAGAACCTTTGCATTTAGAAATGCTTCCCTCAACTCCCTCAATGTCTAATGGAAATGAATCTAGACTGATGAAAAACATACACCAACTTGAAAGTGCTTACTTTTCCATGAGATCCAAAATTCAGACTGTCGAAACAGGGTCTGGAACTCACCCAGGTCAAGATTTACTAAGAAATCATGACAACTGCTATGTGACTGGAAAAGATGAAGGTAAACATGGAAACGTGGATCCTATGGGAAGTTTTTTTGACGGTTTGTGCAAATATGCCCGTTATAGTAAGTTTGAAGTCAGGGGCATGCTAAGAAATGCAGATTTTAACAATCCTGCTAATGTAATCTGCTCTCTGAGCTTTGACCGGGATGCGGATTATTTTGCTGCTGCTGGAGTTTCAAAGAAGATAAAAATTTTTGAGTTTAATTCACTGTTCAATGACTCTGTTGATATTCATTATCCAGTAGTTGAGATGGCAAACAAATCAAAGCTGAGCTGTGTTTGCTGGAATAACTATATCAAGAACTATTTAGCCTCCACAGACTATGATGGTGTAGTTAAGGTTTGTATATCTTCCATATAAGACAGCATTTTAATCATTGTTTTATCATTGGAGGACATTAATTAGAGTTATCCATTTGTTACAAGGAATATGTGCAGCTCTTACCAAAGTGCAGTAATTTTTTAGGGTCTGCAGTCTACGCATTTGTTCTCTTGTATGCCTGGGAAAACAGCTTCTGAATGGAGAAACAGTAATATGTTTCTCAAGATTGATGAGTCTGTTCTGAAAGCAAACATGTCTGCAAGTGGAGTAATAGATTGTTAGTAACCTGTCATAGGTTATTAATTTACCTGATTCTCTAAGTTGCCCTAAAGATTATATTGTCTATCTAAGATATTCATGTCCTATATGGATTGATTGGTTTCTTATCTAAGTTTATCTAGTTCTCTAGATATTATTGGAACTGGAAGTTGACTTTGATTTTTTGGTACAAGTAGATGGACTAAGCTGTTTGTTATGAATTTAATACATGGGTACTGCTTTGCCATATTAGTAATGCTTTTAAACACGCACAATTTTTAAATGCTTTTCCAGCTATGGGATGCTAATAGGGGTCATGAGTTGTCTTGCTTCACTGAACATGGAAAGAGGGCTTGGTCCGTTGATTTCTCTCTGGCGTGCCCTACAAAATTGGCCAGTGGAAGTGATGACTTTTCTGTCAAGTTGTGGAGTATCAGTGAGGTAAGCTTCCTTTTGCTTGTACATGCAAAAAGGCATGTATGTAGCCTGCAATTGACAGTGCTGTAAATATTTGCATGAACAGCTGTTTCCTCAGTTTTTATGATCCTGAGACACGAGAAGAAAGTTAGAAAATTTATACTCTCTGTTATCATGTCATAAACATCAAATTCATGTTGTACAATAAGAGAATTATTTTATCACTGTAACAGTATGACTTATTTTTCCCCATTTCAAGAATATATCAAAAGGTGCTTAGCCTTAGTTATTCTCAAACTATAGAAAAAACTGGCTGGATGAAGTATTTGAGCTTTCTTAATCAGAACCTGGTAAACGTTACAATGAGATGCAATATGAAATGGTGAAATGATTGAACTACCGTGACATTCTACACTGTATGGAGAAATTTTGAATCAAAGTATCACTTCATTTGAACTTAAGCTACCAACCAAACTGAAAAGGATGCTAAAACAACTGACTTATTTAATCTGATTAATACAACTATTAGCTGATTTAGAACTGATACAATTCTCTCTGTTTTTTTTTGGCAGAAAAACAGTTTAGGCACCATAAGAAATGATGCTAATGTCTGCTGTGTTCAATTCTCTCCTCATTCTTCTCATTTGCTGGCCTTTGGATCTGCGAATTACATCACCTACTGTTATGATCTGCGCAATCTCAGAAATCCTTGGTGTGTGTTAGTTGGCCATGATAAAGCCGTAAGCTTTGTCAAATTCTTAGACTCACAGACATTAGTCTCGGCATCCACTGATAATACATTAAAGGTTTGGGATCTTAATAAAACCTCTTCTGAGGGTCCATCCACTGGTGCCTGCAGCCTAACCCTTTCAGGACACACTAATGAGAAGGTTTGATTCTGAATTTATTATTCTGGCTAGAATTTATATGTTTGACGTCCTAAGAGTGTCTATTACTGCATTTTTAACACCCCCCCCCCCCAAAAAAAAAAAAAAAATTTCCTGATGTTAGATGAAGCATCTGAGTGCCATACATGGTCTGAAGAATGAAAGCATATATAAACAATGCTATTTTTTAATATTCACTAAGATGTCAAATTTCTCTCCAATATACGATGTCAATAAATTTAATTTAATTTTTTTTCTTCTCTTTGTTACGTATCATACATATATCCATATCTATATATATGTGTGTGTGTGTGTGGCAGATAAAGCGCACTGTCTGTTCGTGAAATAACATCAAGCAACAATGCTTTTAAACAATATCATCATTTTTTGCCATGTATTTTTATTTGATTTTTTTTTTGTAGGTTTAAATATTCTCTAGCGGTGCAGGGCAAGTTATTCTAGTTTATATTAATTTTATGAACCTGTATTGCCTTTGCCCAAATTTATTTTGTTCATGTCTGTGATGAACAATCCATAAAAGCTAGATCCTGTAAATATCTTTTCTCATTTTTGTTATCAATCCCATCTTTTTATGTGTTTTCATTTACATCAGTTGGCTGAAATGTTGTATCTCTTGCTTTGACAGAATTTTGTAGGTTTATCAATTGCTGATGGATACATAGCATGTGGTTCAGAAACAAATGAGGTATATATAAATTTTCATTGAACATGTTTTTCCCATTGGTTGTAACTTCAACACAAAAAAGTGAAATGTTTTGGCAGTAAAGCTTTGATTTTTAATTCATAAGAATCAAATACTTATGTAGGAGGAGGAGGAGAGAATATCTGATCACATCACCTAAATCTCGCCTAAAATCATGAATAATAAAAACTCACATAACAAATCTGAATAATAACAAACATATAAGGAAAGCTAGGTTAATCACGGAGTTGGGCCTATTAGTGACAGCAGGCCCACTCCCAACACTCTCTCTCAAGCTGGCTCATAGATGTTGATAGTTCCTAGCTTGCTTATGTACCCTTTAAATGTGTCTCCAATTAATGGCTTGGTCATAAGACATGGTACACGCAGTTCATGAGGTGATTCATATGGGATGAATGGAGGCTTATGATGCGGGGTTCATAGTGGGGTCTATATGGTGGGAAGGGATGTTCATGTGGTGGTTGACTCTTCCAGATGATGTGTTGATGGATGTCTATGGTAGTTATCTCAAGGAACCCCTAGGCTTTGCCAACTGTTTTTCCCAAGGTCAAGTCCTGAAAATTACGGCCATGTTTGTCAAAGATAATAAGATAATTTATTTGAAATGTGACCTTTCTTACAGATAACAGGTTGCAATTTATCTTGGGAACATATAAAACATCGCTTAAAACAATATTTTCAGATATGATAACAGTTCCAGACCCCATTACTTTAGCATATTGTCCATTCTCTACTTCAACTGTCATGCTCGGAGAATTCAGAAAATTCAGAGAACAATTCTTTAAAACCTGAGATATGGTCTGTTGCTCCAGAGCATGCCACCCAAATATTTTTGGATTTCACCATACCACTAAGAACATAAGTAAGGGCTGTATCTACATGTGCTAGTGTGACGGAGGTAGTGTTTTTCTCACACATTTTTGACGAGGCAGATGCATACTTGTCAAATATCTTCTTGTAAGTCTTGAAGTTCTTAGGTGCTTAAGGACTCACCCTCAGATTTTGCAGCACCCACCATTAGCCCTTTTTTCTTCTGCTTCATATTTGTAGGTTTGCCATGGAGCTTTCAGCAGACATCCTGGATGTGACCATTCCTATTGCAATGATCACACCATTTTTCTGATTTCTTCCCCTTTGCATCTCCTTGATCCTTTGACAGCTATCGCAAACATCTCATTGAGAGTCTTAGTTGTATTCTGACTCAGCATCTTCTGACTTTCTTGACATCGAATCATGTTGAATGCCTCTTCTAAGGAAGGGAAGGTCTTCATACTCATATTATGATCATGCACATCCTCAAGCACGTCATTCAGGCCAAGTAAAAAAATCTTAGCATCTTTCTTTGTCAACAATTTGCTTATAGTATATTCCATCCTTAGCACATGACCACTCTCGTATCTTAGAGGTCAATTTGTTACCAAAGCTTGATTAATGCAGTGTAATATTGAGTCACATACTTGTCTTCTTGAACCATTTTATGAAGGAGACATTTTATCCATATGACAGTAGTCATATTTTCTCTGGCGGAGTAGGTCATTTTTGCTGAATCCCAAATCTCCTTGGCTTTTTGTGCAAGTGGGTAGCTCTCACTTATTTCAGCTGTCATTGAGTTTACCAGCTGGGTTATCACTATATTAGTTTTAGTGCTCTAGAATGCATGCTGAGCGTGATCAGAATTGGGTGGTGGTGGTGTCCTAATTGGATACTTCTCTTTGTTCTTCTCTTGAACAAACATCAAGATACTAGTAGACCATTGGAGGTAGTTGTTGCCATTGAGTCGGCATGTAATCAGCACTTGGGGAACGATAATCCGGCGCTGTAGTGGTCATCCCATGAAGCAAAGATTTATTTGCACCATGGTCTCCTCCGCAAAACTCGGAACCAGGTCTGTGTCAGCACTCCATAGTTGATGATGAATGATTACCTCAATCCTCAACGTTATGTGCTGCTTGTGACTGGTTAGCTGGAGCTGCTTTGAGCCCCACTGATCAAAAGGCCAAGGCTTTGATACCATGAAATTACTTTTTAGTACCAACTCATATTTTATTGATGCACAGAGTGTTACATGTATAGAGTATGGGGAGACTCAAATTTGATTTTGTCTCTTGAAACTCCCATAATCTCAGAAATAACAACAGATTACAAGTAATAAAATCTATCATGATTCTAGGGGTACTAATCCCATGATTCTGGGGATACTAATCTTATTCATAAAATGAATGTTAGGTTACACAGAAGAGAGGCCTAACAAGGGGCAGTGGCCCTAACTACTTCTAACACAAAGGATGCTCAAGTTCAAGTGGTTTGGGATTTGGGATTCCCAGTGAGATACTTTCCTGTTTCTGCCTCAAACAAAATCCAAGACACTTTGAGACCATTGTAGATAATTGTTGTCATTCAAATGATGTGTTATCGTGACTTGTGAGAAGGAATCCAATGCAGAACTTGTAACCACATTGTGTGATGAGGAGGTCACATCATGCCCTCCTCCTTTTGAGCCCTCACCATACGATAGCCTTTTGGTGCTATCACCATCAACGGTGAAGGCATGAAGCTAGTGCATCTGCGCTACCTTGAATGACATTGAGCCTGAGGAGATGGCTTTGATACCTGTTGGAAATTTAAAGCCCAAGCCCAAGACTTCATTGCTTGATTTAGTTGCTGCCTATGTCTTTTTTCATTCGTTATGTTTATTTTCTTCCGTATTTAATTGTTATTATTGCATATCTGTTTTAGGAATGTATTCCACCGTCTTCTATGAGATTTGATTGTAATCTCATATTAGCCATGATTCTATAAGGCACCCAAGTCTATATATTCCCTTATTTTTTGACAGTGTTAACTTCTACCTACCTAATCATTAGAATGCCCTCATAATCCTCAGCTCTAGTACTCCTATTCATAAACATCTTGAAACCTATCCCAATTCTCCCCTCATTAATATTTTAACACAAGTGGTGTTTGGATGTGTTGTGTTAGTCCATAAAAATGATGGGGGAAACTTAGTTCTAGAGATGAATAATGCATTTTCCTGGGGAAAACAAGTGCTATTGCCCAATCACCAAAAAGATTATTATTTCAAAGGATGCTGTTTTTTATGAGGATGATGCTATTATCCCAAATTACCCATCCTAGGGGAGAATTATTGAGCTGAAGAATGGCTAACTTTGGGTCCCAATGACCTAGAACGATCTGTCCAACCCATCACTGATCCTAATAATTCTGAAACTTCTCAATCTTACCTGAAACTTCACAGATCAGACTTGAAACCCCACCAGAACACCTGAAACGTCAGAAACCAGATCTGAAACCTCTGAAATAGGCCAACCTGAGCCTGGATTGACCAATCCCACTCCTGAACACACCCCTAAAATTGTGAAAACTCGTGCTGAAACTAACAAGGGCGTGGCTAGGTAGTCAAATTCTAGATTTGGGGGAGATAATATGCAGCAGTATGTGGGAGGAGCTTATGACAATGGAGTCCCTTCCTTTACAAGGCACGACCATTATTCTGATCTAGAGTTGGATCTTGAAAAGTTGGGCTGGCTATCAGCTCTTAGAAAAGGGTTAGGCTCTAACACTTGGCACCCTATTCATAGGTTTAGGTTTGTCTCATATGGGAATTTGTCTTCTAGAGCATAGAGCTTTGTGAATAGCCCACAAGTGAAGTCAGATACTAGAGTCATTTCAGCAAGTCATGGCTAACCGTAACTGGAGAAAGGCAGTTGAGAAGAGGGACTGAGAGGCCTAAGAGAAAATAAGACTTGGAAGATTACCACACTTCCCAAGGGAAAAATGCTAGTGGGTTGCAAATGGATTTAACTCCTAAATTCAACCCAGATGGAAGTGTAAACATGTACAAAGCAAGACTTGTTGCAAAGGTTACACTAAAACACATGGGACTGATTGCTACGAAACCTTTGCTCAAGTGGCCAAATTCAATGCTATCAAGTTGCTATTGTCCATAGCTGCTAACGTGGACTAGCCTCCCCATCAGATGGATATGAAGGATATAAAGAATGCATTCTTGGATGGTGAGTTAGAGGAGGAAGCGTATGTGGAGGTCCCAGATGGAGTACTAGATCTAGACAATTCTACAAAGGTATGCAAACTCATAAGTCTTTGTATGGAGTGAAATAGTCCCTGAGGACTTGGTTTGACAGGTTTGCTAAGATTGTAAAGAAGATTGGTTTTTCCCAGAGACAAGCTTATCATGCTATGTTTGTCAAACATGATGATGGAAGAGTCACCATCCTGATTGTGTACGTTGATGATATGATTATAACAGGAGATTATGAGAATTCCATATTAGATGAGGCACTTCCTAGGCATGGAAGTAGCGAGAACCAGAAAAGGGATTTATGTGTCCCAAAGGAAATATGCTCTTAATCTATTACAAGAGAGAGAGAAGCTTGGTGCAAGACCTGATGAGACATCCATGGAGCATGTAAGGTGGAAATTAAGCCAAAAAAGGGTTCTATTAGACTTGGAGATATATTGAAGACTTGTAGAAAAGCTAATATACTTAACTTGCACTTTTAGATATTAGTTATTTTGTTGGTCTTAGTCAGTTTATGCACCAACCCCAAGAAGAGCCATGGAGGTAGTGTTTAGAATTTTGAGGTGTTAGAAACTCAACCTTCATAGATGCATTTTCTTTTGGGGGAAAAAAATAGAGCAAGAAACAAAGAAATCTACACAAGTGCAGATCATGGAAGTTCTTTAGCAAATAGAAAATCTATCACTGGATAGGGCACTTATGTATGGGGAAATTTGGTCACATAGAGGAGCTAAAAACAATCCCTTGTGTCAAGAAGCAGCGCTACAACTCTTGGAGTATGTGAAGGAATCTAGGTCACGACACTTCCAAAGGAATTGAACATTCCCTATGAAGGTCCATTGCAACTATGGTGCAACAACAAAGCAAGTATTGAGCTAATCAAGAATCTTGTGTGTGATGACAGAACAAAACATGCAGAAATTGATAGACACTTCATTAAGGAGAAAGTAGAAGGCAACATCATTGACTTACCCTACATACGATCAGCTAATCAAATAACTTATATCATGACAAATCCTCTTGCCAGCGTCCAGTTTGAAGGGTTAACAACCAAGCTGAGAATGATTGACATCTATTTAGCTTGAGCGGGGAGTTTTGGTAACGTAAAGCCCAATCCAAGAGACTTCATTGCTTGAACAATAAAATCTGCTTGTTTCCTTCTGTATTTGTTATTATTTCGTATCTGGTTTTGGATCTTCCACCGTCTTTTATGAGATTTGATTGTCATCTCACATTAGCCTTGAGGCATCCGAATCCATACATTCCCTTTTTTTCTCAATGAATGAAATATACAGAGAATTAAGCTGTGTTTCAACAAAACGAATAAATCTGATCAAATCTATATAAATCTGATCAAATCACCTAAATCTCTCCTAAAATCATGAATAATAAAATCTAAGATTGTAATAGATCTGAATAATAATAGAACATATAAGGAAAGGTAGGTTAAACATAGTTGGGCTTATTAGTAACAGCACGCCCACTCCCTACAAAAATCATTAAAATTAATATTCTTTGTTAGTTTTAATTGCACTCATGTTTAAAAAATAACCCTGTATATTCAGAAATGAGATCATGCCAATCCTAGATCCAATCATGCGACATCTTGTGTATAAGTTTTGTGATGATAACTGGTGCTTGGATTGTTTTCTACCCTTAAATTGAACTAATATTATGATGATCACTAGCAGGATTGAAAAGATGATGCAGTCTATACTAGTTTAGGCTTGATTATTTGTGGTAGGCTTATCAGTTATATAAATCTATCACATATTGTTTTGATACTATGTTTCCTTCCAGGTTTATTCATACTACAGATCTCTTCCCATGCCAATCACTTCGCACAAGTTTGGGTCCTTGGATCCCATATCCGGGAGAGAGACTGATGATGACAATGGTCAGTTTGTTTCAAGTGTATGTTGGAGGGGCAGTTCAGATATGGTTGTTGCTGCCAATTCAAGCGGGTGTATAAAAGTGTTGCAGATGGTTTAAGGTAGTCCTAGGTGAAGATTGGCTTCCAACTGGGGATTCCCTCTCTCCCTGAGGCCACTGAGGCCAATACCACCAATTAGCCCGGGGTGTATTCAGATTGTATCAACATCTTGAGCTCTGGCTGAAGTTTTGATGTTGAAAGATGAGTTTAAACCATGAAAGATTGGATGGAGGAAGAGATCGCAAACCGAATCCCGATTTTCCAGTTTGAACATTGAATACATGAGGAAGCTAACTTAAAACCAGAAATTTTTGACGTTCTTTTGTAGAGAAGGCCTGTTATAATACGCAATATCTGGATGATCATTAATAAAACAGGGAAGCCGATTCAAGAGAAAAATTATGACAAGTGAAAGTGGCTGGGCTTTAGTTGCTTTGGAGCATGAAGAATCCTACTAGAAGAATTTGCTCACCATATGTGCTTATCTGAGCCAACAGAAAGTTGTAGTGCGGTCCTTTTCAAGGTTTTTTTATTCTAATGAAGGACTTGCAATTTTAGGCTTGTAGCAAACATGTTTGGTCATCAACGCAAAGCGGGACCTTTATCACTTTCAAGGAAGAAGCTTCAAGAAATTTGATATCGTACTCAATACTTGTATATAGCACACTAGTATAACAATGACCATTGACGATGTTTTATATAGGATGCTTATAAATGATAGCATATTTGTGCCACTCTGTTAAGTTTTCAATTTTCATCAAACGTTTGGCCAAGGGGAAAAAAAAAAAAATTCTTCAAACGGTTCAGGGAAAGGTTACTGCAAGATAAGAAAATCAATTTTTAATTGAAAAAAGATTCGATTATGCCATATGGACGATTCAGATTTTAATTTAGTTGTTAGACGAAAAAAATATAAATTAAAATGCAAAATTCCAGTCCTAGGTAGAGTGAAGCGTGGGCATGGCATAAAAAATTAGAACATTTCTTTTGTTGTGTTTTAGGTTTTTTTTTCCCTCCAAAATTTCCAAAATTTCCCTTTAATGATATCCTTAGGAAACATCACTTAAATTAAATGTCTCCTCATTTTGTCCGTTTGGTTGCAATGATCCTGAAACCCTAGAACATATCCTTTTGCTAGATATCTATCAGATATTTGTTTTATTGAATATGCTTTGGAAGACAAAGAATTGCATTGTTCATAATAGTGGAATGGCCTCTCCAAATTTGCTAATCAAAGAGATTCCCAATGCTGAAATCTTTCATCTTTGGCCTTTCCTCCAATAATTAATACCAATCAAAGCAGTCCTTCCAGAAATGAAGTTCCTAGAATTAGCTACTGTGGCTTGGAGAAAGATGGTTGGACCATAATTATGAGCAGGCATAAGGATAGCAGGATTACTGTTTGCCAAGCCTGGATGGGACAATCGCTGCAAAAGTTAACCTGTCAAAAATACCCTTCTTTTTTTTTTTTTTGCTACAAAAATACCCTTCTAATACAGTGCCTTCCATGCTAGTCTTCTTCAGATTCAGAGCGACTCGTTTTTGGATACAGAATTCAATCTTCCATGATGAAAGAGAGAAAAAGCCTCTTATAAAAAGCAATTTCCTCCAACAGTTGGTACCAACAAAAACAATTCACGCTTAGTATCTCGACAGTATTTCGAATAGGATTAACTCCAATAAAAAAACACGTGCCTAGCAAAAAAAAAAAAAATCCAAATCTGATTTGTTCTCCATTTTCCTTCAACTCAATCACAATAGCAGGAAAAATCAATCCTTCATATGTAATCTTTGCCTAATTCTTGTCCTTTTTTTTTTTTTTGGTTGGATTACTTAAAACCCTTGATGTGCCTTTTTGTTCTATTTACACATAAGTATCTTTTTATTAGAAGTAATCCTATTTAAGATACTATTAGACACTAAACATGGGTACATCTCTTAATAGGAATTTTGGGAAATTTAAACCATGGGTAGGGACTCTGTTCTCAACAAGGGCCAAACGTTTGATCAACGGTCAACCCCACAACATCCAAGTACTCTGCCCCTTTATTTTACTTTTTTCACTTCATTTCAAATAACCATGGAAAAATTTTAGAGATCGCAATTCAAGCATAAATCTCCAAGTGTCTAATAGTCCATATATAAAAAACAAAAATGGACCCATAAGTAGCAACGACAGTGAAATAAAACAAGATCCTGTAATCCATCTATAATTGGCGGGGGAAAAAAAAAATCAATGCCCCACGGTCACGGCGAGCAACAGACATTAACCCAGCTACTGAATCCCTTGTTTTGGTGATAACAAAATTGGGAAAAGAATTTTTTTTTTTTGGCAAGATTATAAATGTATTCACTTATGCCAACTGGATCAAGAGAACTCGTTAATGCAAGGACCTCAAAGCTTAAATATTTTCATGTTTGTTAGGACTCTTGTAAAGGAGAATGAGCCTTGCTTTTGCAAAATTATATTACAAATGTTTTTCAGAGACAGCCTAGAAACAATTTATCCTGTGTTGTTAATTTCTTTTCCAAAGATCGAATGTTTCAGTTAGTAAGGCATTCTCAAACATCATGATGTAAATTCAGCCAAAAAAAATAAAAAGATCGAACCAATTAGTTCAACTGAAAAAATAATGAATCAGCCAGTGGCCTGATTTGTTTTAAGCAATGAACAGGTTAGAAAATGAACCAGTATTAACCCGGTCAAGCCAGTATGAACAGACGAAAAACCAGTATAAACTTTTGATGAACCAGTTTGAATATTTATTTTGCTATTAGTCATATTTTTTCTCAATCAACTTCTAATATTTCAATCATTATATGTTTGAATGAATTTTAAAGACTATTTTGGTATTGATAATTATTAATTTTAGTTATTAAGAAATCATAAAGATCAAAATTCTCAATGTTATTGTATTTTGTTATTATTACTATTAGATTATTACTATATTTCCTTATATTTTATTATTAGTGATTATTAATTTTATTATATTTTATTATTTTCAATTAAATTCTATTATTCTAATGTGATTGGTTTGAACCTGGTTTCACACCAAACACATTGACTCTTACACCATTATCTTAATTGGTTTAGTGTCCAATCCGGTTTTTTGTTCCTAGCCTAAAATCAAGTGTTACAAGCAATTAAGAGGTGAAAACCGCGTGGAAATTGTGCAGGTAGCATATATCTTGCCACCCGTGCAAATTGAGGGCAATTGATTTCTTTATTTTTTTTCATTTTTGCCAAGCGCCCAATTGACTTTAATCTCCAAACAGAAGGACACATGAAATACTTGTTCACCTCAACTTCAACTTTACACTCTTATCCAGAAGTACAAATTTTCGGCTTGAATGTTCTGTCATTTTTTTGACCAGAGAATGTTCTCTGTCATGAAATGAGACTTGAAAAAAAGAAAGAAATTCAGTGATACCAGGTAAAAGCTAAGCTTTCTTGTCGCTCTGTTTCGTTTCCTGTTGTTCCTGTTCAGCCAGGGAAAATTTCTTCACTTTCTGTTGGGGCAGGGAGAAAACCAAAATTAAAAAATAGAGGAAAAAGAGAGTAGCAAATGTGTTGTAAAGCCATGCACATGTGAATGAATTATACTCTAATTGACAACTTCATTGAATGCAGAGCAATTCACGCCAAGGTACAGATTCATTGCTTCCTTGGACTATCGATATTGCACGCATTAATCATAGCAAAAAGGGCTAAGCTTTTAATTCTAATCTAGAATTTAGGTATTCTGAACTTCCATTTGCAAAGATTTTCCAAAGGAAAATCAGCTTCTGAGGTCCTCAAAATAGGAGATAATTACAAGTCATGAATGATGGTTAAAGAAGCAACTAGCATCGTAAAAGCAAGTGTCTTCACCGAACTACACAAGCAATTCCATTCTTCATTAACTTCCAGGGAAAATTCTTGGAAAGCCCAACTAAATAACAGAGGCTAGTGAAACAAGTTATTTAGTCCAAATCAAAAAGCTTTTAAAAGAAGGGTAATCAAACAAACAATAAGTCTTGTGTAGCACATTTGATAATCTTAACTTTAAAGGAAGGAAATAGTAAGTATATTTTGGGAGATAAGATGTCATGAAGACGATTCATGATAGAAGCAAACACAAAGGAGAAAACTGAGCGCATACAAACTCACCATTTTCCTAAAGCATGTTAAGTAAGCTTGCTATCTTGAGTCCATTACGACTTATTTCAGGTTTTGCCAAGTAGAAACGAGGAACTAACCCTTTTACCTTTCTTACAACTAAATTAATCTATCATATATGGAGAACGGTCTCTCTCACGGAAACAAATAAATAAAGATTAGAAAAGGAAAATATAAAATTACTGGTTGTAGGTCAGTAATTCATACCAATATTGAAGCCATTTGCATACACAACTCATTAAGTGCTTAAAATCATGTTAAAGACTTCCTGTTCAAGAACCACGTGAAGGCATTTGTTCAAAAGGAAAAAAATGAAAAAGAATAAAGAACCACAGGAAGGTTGACAAATTAACTTGTGAACTTCTGTGTAGAATCTACAAAACAAAATAGGATAGAGATGCCGATGAGTAAACCAAATGATCAAATAGTTTTATGAGGATAGGAAATCAACCATTTTCTTTCCTCTCGAATTATTATAAAATAGCATATCTAGTCTACTGCGAGAATATATAACTCTATACCATTATTCAACAATTATATAAATAAATTTTGAACACGATATCAAAGAATAGGTTATGAAATATCTTTAGGATTGCATTAATAGAAAGGTAAAAACATATTTAAGATGATATCAAGGAAAAACCACAAATGAATATACCAATTAACCGACAAATTACAAAATTTAGCACTTGAACAAGTGTTAGCTTTAGCTGCAACTGGGGCTGGACCGACATAAATAGAGCAATGTTAAAACAATGATACAAGTCTCATAACTTAATTGTATTGTATAAAATCTTAAGACATATTTCGGAAAAAGCTGGCGGCAAGCTTACAGCAACAACGAGATTACGATTGCCGTTTCATCACTAATAGTTCAAGAAAATGTAAAACACCTAAATGCCTAATAAAGCGCAACACTAAACACCAAGACTAGACTAGACCAAACAGGCTATATCCTTACGCTTCGAGATAAGCCAGATTCAGTAACAATCAAAACACCTGAGACAGATAGAATGGCAATGGAATTCAAGAACAGGAAATTAACGAAAAAGGTATAAAAATATGAGGAAAAACCGAGAGCGCAGGACAATAAGGAAAACAAGTTCTTGCGGGCGTACCTTGGCTAGCACGCATTCCCGTAAAACATGTAAAAGACGGTGGCATTTTTCTTGATCAAATGGAGATTGAGTGACGCAATTCAGGAGATCTAGGGCTTCCTGTGCACACACGGGCTTACCTTGAGCTTCATCCATGGTATGCGGGATTTAGTTAGGGTTTTAGGATTCAGAATTTTATGTTAAAAATCTTCGATTTCGCTTACAAAAAGAAGGGCCTTCGCTCTGTGGCTCACGGTTCCTACTTACTGTACTTGTGTGCTCCTGTTGTTTCCCTCAAACAGGAGGCTCACAAGGTTTCGTCTTGCTTCTTGACCTTTTTCCCATGCTACCCTACTTTCCGCGCCAAATTCCGTAGATGGGAAATCAAAATCAGAATTGGATTTTTGCTTTCAGAAAGTAAAAGGTGAAAGTATAAAAGAATTTGGGAAAACCACACAAAAAAAAAACCGTAAAATTTAAAAAATTATAAATAGG